TTCCCTAATTTGGCTTGCATTCCTTACCCCTTGTTGTTACTATTAATTATATTGAATATCTGGTCACCATTAACCTTTTAGTGATGATGAATGCCTATTTTGCCTTAAATATGTCAGCTTTCTTGACGTCTTCAGTTATTACTTCTCCATTTCCACTAAATAGTAGACCCTATTTTTTGTCTTTCTCTTGCACCTAATGTATTTAAATTACCTTTTCACTACCTTTTCCCTTGTTGTTACTATTAATTATATTGAATATCTGGTCACCATTAACCTTTTAGTGATGATGAATGCCTATTTTGCCTTAAATATGTCAGCTTTCTTGACGTCTTCAGTTATTACTTCTCCATTTCCACTAAATAGTAGACCCTATTTTTTGTCTTTCTCTTGCACCTAATGTATTTAAATTACCTTTTCACTACCTTTTATATACCTTGCTAGATGTAACTCATTTTGTGCCTCAGCCTTTCTAATTTTGTTCTTACATGCTTGTATTATTCTTTTGTACTTGTCCTTAGCATTTTGTCCATGTTGTCACTTTTTGTAGGATTCTGTTTTGATTTTTAAGTCACTAAAGAGCTCTGATAGAGGTATATTAGACATACTATTCTTCCTATATTTTATTTCACAATCACTTTCACCCAAATTGTCATCCACCTTCAGATTTGCTATCAATTCCTCACAGCTAGTCATAATGACTGTCCTCATCAGCTCCTTCACTTTCTGGAACAAAAAGTTGTCCCTGAACACACTAAGAACTTGCAGCAAATTCTGAGTTTTGACATATTTTCCAACAATTATTGAGTAATTAAAATCCTCCATTACTACCAGGTCTTGGGTTCTGGATATTTCTGTTATGTGTTTTAGAAATGCCTCATCCACCTCCTTTTCCTGATTTGGTGATCACAGTTACTATGATGTAACTACTTTCATTTTTAGCCAGAGACTATCAATAAGTCTGCCTCCTACCTCCTTCTGGACTTCAGAACATGCATTATATATTCCTGATGTATAACGCAATACCTCCTTCCTTTTTACCTTGCCTGTCCTTTCTGAACAAGCCTTATCACTCTATGCCAAATTTCAGACATGAAACTTATCCCATATATGCTACAGATTGAACCTCTCTAATCTGGTACTCTCTGGTCTGGCAACATCCGTGGCCTGGCATGATTTTAGTTAGCTGGATGTCCACTTATCAATATGGCCAAGTTTCCTGAAGTCCCATAAAGTTTGATTACAGTTGCCAGTCCTGGCTCTCAGTGTTCTCCTGGATGAAATGTTATCCCGTGCAAAGATTGGTTGTGGTGGCTCTTCTAGTGTTCAAGTTACAAACTTACAAACGCACAAACTTACAAACATTCTCCTTTATATATTAGATTACAAATGCAGTCACATACATTGTTTTTGTCAGATCTGAAAAAACCCTTAATTTTATATGTAAATATTTATTTATATATTTTCATCCTCTTTGGGAAAATCAAAATCAAAACAATTTTAGGATCATGATCCATAATTTACATCATCAAACTTAATAATAAAGTCTGTTCATAATTCAAACTTAGTATTTTAACACCATACAGAGTAAAAAGATTTGACCTTTCTTAAAACAGAACAGTATATTAGGCATTTTTTTTGGTGTTTGTTTTAGGTTGATATTTTGTTAAGTGTTTTTAATAGTATATTTGAGCAGAAATCAAGATATGCATTTTATGACAAACAATTGTAACAGAACCTGTTATTATTCTTTTAAAATATGGAACACTTACGAAGCAAGTTTTGCTGCAGAGATTCAGAGCGGTACAAGTTCACGTGACTCTTCTTGAAGACGTTCTTCAGTAGTTGAGCTCTTTCCGTTAAGCTAGAAGGTGGAAATTTGTGATATATATAAATTTATGAATGACAATGTAGAGTTTTCCCACTGGACTTTAAACGTAGACTAGCAAACTTTAAAACTGTCCATTATAATGTAGGAAAAACAGTGATAAATGTAGGTTGTATCTGACCTACTTGTTTTTTAGACATATGGTAAAATGGTAGCAAACAGAAATATTTGAAAATCTGGGCTTATGTTTGTAAGTTTCCTGGGCAGAGACTGGTTTCTGGTTATTTATTATACAGTTACTAGGATACTGGAGCTGCAATTCCTTTTTGGAGACTCTAGGTATAACCACAATGCAAATAAACTAACAATGCTATTAAAATATTTAAGTGCCAGATTTTCTCTGGCCTTTTTGGGGTGTGCAGTGTAAGTGAAGAGGACGGAGACTCTCTGAACTTAGCATGATCCTGCATTAAGGCCAAGCAAAATTGCAGCCCTTACACTAAGAAATGTAGGGACAATTCTCTCCTTGCCCATTGAAAGTGCCCCAAAGGCAGCGGTGGGCAACCTGCAGTATGCGGGCTGCATGAAGGCCATCAGGGCTCTGTGTGTGGCACACAAAACATTTTGTTTACCATTGACCATGCACAGGGTTGCCCGATTCTGCTGGTTGCCATTTGCATAGTTTTTTCCCTACTGGTACTACTAAAGTGACACACATGTAAAGCAAGGGTGCAAGAAGTGAGATATGTGCTGACTGCACAAAATATTAATTGTGACAGCCAATATTAACTCTCTGCATCCAATCAAAGTGCTACCTATGATGCTATAGTCCCATCCCACAAATTCTAGATATGCAAGCCCTGTTAGCAGAACAACCCTATCCCAGGAGACCATCTTGGTTACGAAAATCTTGTGATCTACTGAGATGAAGGAAGGCCACTCATGTGTCCCATCACTAGCTTAAGTTGTCCATCACTGCCCAAAGGGGATGGGAGGTACAGCAAGGAGATGGAGGTAAGGCCTTGCCCCTGTATGTCAGCCAGATGTGTGTGTTTGTTTGCTGTCTCCATGCAGGGCGTTACAGTGCGTGCACTTCTGGTAAGCACTGGGAAACTCTCAATGGCCATTTTGCTCCTTATGGTGCTTTCAGCATCTGCAGCTCCACACTGCTCCTTAATATAAGACGTGTAATTTACAGAATCCAGCCCTTCATAAAACAGGCTTGCCAAGAAGTTTTGATACTGATTAAGATTGGTTTTGATTTGAGTCTGGGGTTGTGGCCTGATGGTGAGAAACATGGCTTGTTTTGGTAATTTGCCCTTTTTTAGAGAAATCATTCTACAAGTACATTGTAAAAGTAATTCAAGAAGTTTCAAGCACAAGTAACTTAATCCATTAAGTTATAGACAAACATAAACAATCTGCCCTGTGTTCTAGGGTTTAACAGATTTCAAACATGTTTGATAATCTGAAGTACATGATAACTGCAGTTAAATTAAAGTGATTAACATTGTAAAGTTTCAGCTCATATTCAGATAAAAGATATCAACACTTTTTTGGTGACTGGGGGTGTTTGATTGCCTTGCTAAATGAGCACTGCACGTTACCAGGTTGTTTTCAGAGAGGTTGAGTAAAGAGTAAGATACGTTTCTGAAGGTATTTGCATGGATTTACAATGCAACTAATACGCACATGCTCTTTTGTGCACAAAGGGTTTTCAAAGATTTAGGAGTACACTTAGGCAATCTGAAAATTAAACTAGAACTAATTGTGGATATACCTATAGATAATATATTATACATGCACTCTCCTCTCTCTTTACAACTGAGGGTATGTCTACACTGCAATATTATTCCAAAATAACTTAATCCGCATCTACACAGCAGGCAGTTATTTTGAAATAGTGTCAAAATACTGTCAAGCTAGAGGACATCTTACTCTGACTCCTGTAACCCTCATAGTATAACGAGTAAGGGAAATCGGAGGAAGAGTGCTCTGTTTTAAAATAAGTGCTCTGTAGACGCTCCCTATTTTGAAATAAGATACGCTATTTTGATGTAGCTCAATTTGTGTAGCTTATTTCGAATTAAGCCCTACATTGTAGACACACCCTTATAGTGGCACATCATTACTATTTGTGCTGCTACTGCAAAATAGACTGGACTATGATCCAGACAGCTCGTGAGCACAGGTAGAAAAAAGAAGGTGGTGGGGAGGATGACTGAGTTTTAATCAATCGGATACATGGGTTCTGGTTGAATGTTTCAGGGTTTGATGTTTTCAGGGTACAACCAAGCTGTCTCCATATAGTGTATCTTTATTTCTCAATTCTTATAGTTTCCTATGGATAAAACCCAAATTTAGTTAAAAGAAAATAGATGGACTGGTCATAGCATAGAGAGCTTGCAAAAACATAAATATACTTTCTGATAATTGTAAGATTTACTGCAGAAATTGGGAAGGAATGTAAATGAGGACTGGGAATGGTATTTTAAGGCAAACCACAGGAACTATACCCTGAACTGGGTCTCAGTGTCACACACCACAGTGCTGAATGTTTTGTCTTCTGTATGTTAACTGATTTATCAGAATGACCCAGGGTGCCCAGATAAAATTCAGAACGAATGTTTTGAACTCATCCTGCCTGCTGAAACCTTAGACCTTGGAAGAAACTGTTTGTTATGAGAGTGTTCGTGGCAATCTTGGGAACCTTTAGTAAGCTAAGTTAAGATGTCCCGTGAAGCAGGGCCAGCCTTAGGGAAAATGGCACTCTGGGCAAACTTGCAGTTTGGTGCCCCTGACTCCCATGAACTTCCCAGCCTCCTTTCACACCTAACCCTTGCACTGTTTCCCCTCTGCCTCAATGCCTACTCCCTTCCTATGCCCCAACACCTGCACTGTGCATGTAGGGTTGCCAACTTTCTAAATTCACAAAACTGAACCACCTGCCCCACCCCTTCTCTGAGGTCCCATCCCTGCTTTCTCCATCCCCCATGGATTGCTTTCCCCACTCTCACTTTCACCAAGCTGGGGTGGGGGTTGGAGTGTGAGAGGAAGGTGAAAGATCCAGCTGGGGGTGTGGGCTCTGGATTTGGGACAAGAATGAGGGGTTTGTAGTGCAGGATGGGAGGCACTGTGGGCTGGAGCAAGAGATTGGGATGTGTAAGGGTTAGGGATGTTAGGGAATAGTCAACTGGAGTATCAACTACTCGCATCTCCCTGCCCTTTGCTGCCTCTATGATAGAGAAGGGGGGGGCAGGAGCTGGTGCTGGGGGAAGCTGGCTTAAAAGCTGGTTCCTCCCCCCAGCACCAGCTCCGCAGTGCCACCTGCCTTCCCCTGCCTCTATCAGGCAGCGGGTGGGAGTGGGAGGGCTAGAGGAGGCTGCTGTGAAGCAACCTCGGCCCACAGCGGGCCGAGGCTCGCCATGGGCAGCCGCTTCTCTGGAAGCAGCACTTGTATGTGGGGATCCCAGTGAGGAGCTGGGCTCCCCTGAAGACAGGGATTGCTGCCACCAAGCAGCCCATTTTTGGCGGCCCGGGCTGGCTGCACACAGGGACTTCTCCAGCAACAGCCCCTGGCTGCCGGAACAGAGGCTGCACCAGCAGCAGCCCCTGTTTGTGGTGGACAGGGCTGGCTGCTGCGAACAGTGGCTGCTGGACTCAGCGTAAGCTGGGACTGAGCAGTCTTGGCTTGCGCTGGTCCAGGATGCTGTGCATTTTAAATGGAATAAAAGCCCGGCAGCTCTTACTACATTTAAAATGCAAAGCAGCATTATGGGTGGCTTCCAGATCCTGCACAAGCCAGGACTACTAAGTCCTGGCTTGAGCTAGCTCCTGGAACTATCCCCGCTGCGGCTCTGCACAGCAGTCCTTATCGACTACACAATTAGTCAAATAACTACAATTTAACATCCCTAGTAGGGGTGAGAACTCTGGCTGTGGGTGTGGGCTGTGGTAGCTGATGAACGATTTGGGAGGCAGGAGGAATTCAGGGCTGGGTAAGGAGATTGATATTTATGGGGGGATGCAGACTGAGGAGTCTAGTAGGGAGTTTGGATATGGGAGGGGAATCTGGCCTGGGGCAAAGTGTTGGTGTGGCAGGAGGAAGTTTTGGCTGCAGGATCCCAGTTGGTGTTTACCACAGCACCCAGGAAATGGCTGCCAGGTCCCTGTGGCCATTAGGTCCTGGTCCACACTAGGGAGTTATTTCAAAATAATCCCCCTTATTTCAAAATAACAAGCTGAGCGTCCACACTACCAAGCTTGTTATTTTGAAATAAGGGGCTGATTATTTCAAAATACAGTAAAACCCCAATAGTCCGGCATCCAGTTGTCCGGCTCTCCTGATAGTCTGGCATCAACTAGAACCCAGAAACTGCTCAGGTCAGCCGCTCTCACAGTCGGGCCGCTGTGAGCTTCATGTGCGCTCACAGCCCACGCCGTTCCGCTCACGGTCCCCAGCGCACACAGCGTTCAGCCTGCACGTGCTAGCAGCTGGTCGCTGAGCACAGGCAGTTGCTTTGGGACCCAGACATAAGGTTGGGGGAGAAGGAGGAGTGGGTGACAGCAAGGTGGGGAGGTGTTTGGCTGTGGGGAAGGGAAGGGGAGGGGAGGGGGACTGGGTTGCACACGGTGTCCTGGCCAGCTCATTAAAAAGTTGTCTGCTCAGTGTACGTGCCCCAGCGCCTGGAGGGAGATGCGTAGCTGTACCGGCGGCTCCTGGACTCGAGCATAAGGTGGGGGAGGGAGGGTTGGGTTGGGAGTATGCCCCCTTATAGTACCTCCTGGTACTCCGGCATATCCAATAATCTGGCACCACCTAGGTCCCTAAAGTTCTGGATTATTGGAAGTTTACTGTAATGACTCCAGCATTCCCTGCCCCTGGCCAGGGACAAAAGAGGACATTGACCTGGACTGGTGCAGAGATCCTGGACTTCACTGAGATCCGGTGGAGGAGACCAACTGATATCTACGGCCTTATGGCCACCAACCTGGTGGAGACAGGATATATGCAGACTCTCAACCAGGTCCACATG